AGGTGGGGGCCAAAAAACAATTTAAATTTTAAATTTTGGTGGGAGCCCGAAAAATGTTCGGCACATAAACTGTACCAGAACTAAAATAATATAAAATGACCGTATTTCCTAATAAAGGTCTTTCCATATATCGGCGTGCCCAATATCATTCAGTAATTATTTAACAAATAGAGAAAGCCAAAGCCAAAGTGTTTTCTAAATTTCTCAAGTGTTCTCAAATTCCCCGGAGTGTTTTATGGCAGTATAATACATGGTTTTGGCTTCTTTATGTGCTTTAAAATATAGATTTACGCGCGCGAAACGATAAAACACGCTTTTCTATGTTATATACTCTGATAAAACATGGTTTTTAACCAATCAGAGCGCGCGCAGTTTTCAGTCTATATTTTAATGCGAAATAGTTTCAAGTTTTGTTTATGTATTTCACCAACAAAAACGATTAAAAATATATATAAAGGAATTTACAGAAAGCTCTTATAATACGCTTTGATTTATACATTGGCGTGAATAGGTAAATGGAATCCCGGGGTGGTACTCAAAAAAGTTTTATAACGGGGAGGCTCCGCCCAGAGGTCCAACCCCTTACCCTTTTATATACCATTTTTTGACAGAAAAGGTACCCCTTTCATATACGTTCCATGGAAAATGGTACCCCTTCCATATACCTTCCATATAAATTATGAAAATGGTACCCCTTTCACACACCTACAGTAGAAACACTGCATCCCTTTTCTATACCCTTGGAATGAACTTAATGAACAATGAATACGGCCCAGAAGGAAGTGGAAGGAAGCTGTCTTACGATGGCTAAGAACTTCAAACCTGCAGTCACCACATACCTAAATGACAGTTTTCACTACCCTTTTCTATACTCCAACTCGTGAAATCCCTACCCTTTTCTATACTCCAACTCGTGAAATCCCTACCCTTTCATATACCTCCAGTCTGAAAAGGTACCCCTTTCGGGCGGAGCCTCCCTGTATAGTCCATTATAGGGAGTACCCCCCCCCCCCCCCACCCCCCACCCTCCTCCGGGAATAGAATACAGTAAAACACTAGTAATAAAAACAGAACGTATTTTATTTATTTACATGTAATATTCTGAATACTCAATTACTGCTATTGCATTATTTTCTAGCTTTCTGGTTGGCTCTTTACTCACTTGTTATCGATCGGCTTATAGCACAAATTCTGACAAATATGGTAGCTCATAACACCCCTTATGGCCAACTTTGGTAACATAGCGCTATGTTGTTGAAAAAGATGGCTAAAATATTCATTAAATTTAAAAAAACCCGGGTTCTTCTAAATCAAACAAAAGTTAAGTCTACTAAATAATGCACACAGTTTGGAACGAAATATTTAATGGGGATGCCTGTAAGTGTCAGCAAATGCGACCGACACGACTACACATGGAATAATTGCTTTATGAAGCAAACTGGCCTGAGTACTTAAAGGGACACTGTCCTGATTTTTAGCATGATTTGGGGAAGCTCAGAAACATATCTAGATCATAGGAAATTGAACAATAATGGTTTGATTCTGTAGAATAGCACTCGACAAATGACAGGAACCCATTAGGAAGTGAGGATGACAAACGACAGCGAGGATGGAAATGGATTGCAATATGGATTTTTGAAAAAACGTCAGGATGTCAGTTTTTCAAAGTTTCAATTTTGGCTCGGAAATCTTTGAAATTTTTGCAAAAATGTTGTTGCAGTATGGAATTTCTTGTGTCAGCAAATGCGACCGACACGACTGCACATGGAATAATTGCTTTATGAAGCAAACTGGCCTGAGTACTTAAACATTAAACTTCACCAAGTCAGCGCATATAGGCAAAGATTGCTGGAAGCACCAAGATTCTAACTAGCTCTGGACACTGGTACCTTTCAAGACTGCACAGCAAAGCGTTTTTAACTCTCTTCCACATGAAATAAGATACGAATCTGAATATTTTAAATTTGAAGGCATGGCGAATAAATTTATTTTAAACATGTGTTAGGACCTCGCTCTTTTAATTGTTATTTGTTTCTAATATTTATCGATCTGATGAATGTACGCAATTAGTATTTTTTTTATTTTTAATCAATTAATGTAAATAGTTGCCAATAGTTAGGATTAGTAATTTAACCCTATCCTGCCTGGGGGGGGGGGGGGGGGGGGGGGGGGGGGGGGGGGGGGGGGGGGGGGGGGGGGGGGGGGTGGGGGGGGGGGGGGAGGCAGACGGTGCCCGCGCTGAATTCAAATTTATCGTACTTAAAGAGCATTCAAGCAATCATAGCCAAACTTTATGACTTTTCCTAAAAAAATATCTGGAAACATTTTGGTATGTCAATTTTTTGATCACGTGACTTGATGTTTCCATGGCAACCAAGTTTTGACAGGCCGTTTTAGCCAAATTTGGTATTTTCAGCTTATCATGAGATTTCCGCTTTCTACGAATAGTTTCCTCGAAAATCTTTGCAACTCCCATGTAAATGTGATGGGGGTGATTGTCCGAAAATTTGAAAGAAACCCCTAAAAGGAACCAGAATCTCGTTTTGTGGGCGTGGCTAGAATTCATTTGCAACCCTACATATGTACGTGGTATCAATTTTCCTGACATATTTATTTCCGCACCGGGATAACTCTGAGGTAGGTATTCATTTTAGATTTAAACACCCTAAGGGATTTTAACCCCTATCCGGTCAAGTCAGTCAAGAGGTTAAAAAACGTACAACAGTAAGAAAGCTTTTTATCATACGATCTATAACTCTGACTGACTGAACTCTGACTGCCCGAAGTCAAGTTCTGTGTAAGCAGCTGGCTCTGATCCCTCATGTGCAGCACCTAGTGACTGATAATGTGGGTAACTGGGGTGAAGTCCTGCGTAAACAGCTGGTTCTGATCTCCCATGTGCAGTACCTAGTGACTGATAATGGGGATCACTTAAATCACATTCTGGAATTCCCCAAATTCATATATTCTGGTTGGTTGCCTTGATTACTTTCTGCATTTCCAGATTCTTAGCCAGCATTGCCTGATTCTTAGTCAGATGACTTTGTCCCATATTATCATTCTGCCGCATAATCACGTGTTCCAACATGTGAAATTGGCTGTCTACCAACACTACAAAAAAAGATACATATATGAATTTAATATTAAGCTAAAGAAGAAAATATTTAGCTTTTGGAAAGGAATGTTTGTCAAAGAAGAAACGTTACAGCGCGGACACTCGAACTATGAACGCTTTGACTTTATTTTGCCTTTATTTTGTCTTTATTTTCACTTATTTTGTATTTTTTTTTCAGAACTAGCCAATCACAGCCCTGATTCGATGCAACGATCAATATATTTTTCTACCTTTTCCCCGCGTTTTTATGATAAAAACGCGGGAAAAAGGTAGACAAAATGTCTTGGCCATTGCTTCGAATCAGGGCTGTGATTGGCTAGTTCTGAAAAAAAAAAAAAAATACAAAATAAGTACAAAATAAGTGAAAATAAAGACAAAATAAAAGCAAAATAAAGTCAAAATATAAAGCCAAAATATAGCCAAAGCGTCCATGGTTCGAGTGTCCGCGCTGTAAAAGTAATCAATTGTAAATTAGCAATTATATCGGAATTTGTTTTCATAAGTGACGTAATTCTGTTCAGTCCACGAGGGCCATTAATTCCCTTGAATAACAAGGGTTTCAGTCAGTTTCACAAAATTCCATCACGTTTAAACAAAGCTAACTGAACCAAAAGAAACGGTATTTTATTGTAACTCATGCACACCGGGATGAAACTGAAAAAAAACCACTCAGACATTTTTATCTTGGGTTGACACGAATCCGATAAAAACTCTAAATCTAAAACTCGCCTCGACTACTCTGCTTTACTCTACTGTTAATTATATACTCTTCTGTGCTGTGCCGTACTGTGCTGTGCAGTGCTGCGCTGGCGCTGTGCTGCAGCTGCGCTGTGCTGCGCTGCGCTGTTCTGTGCTGTGGCTGTGCTGTGCTGTGCTGTGCTGTGCTGTGTTGTGCTGTACTGTGCTGTGCTTTGGTGTGCTGTGATGTGCTTTGTTGTGCTTTGTTGTGCTTTGTTGTGCTTTGTTGTGCTTTGTTGTGCTTTGTTGTGCTTTGTTGTTCTTTGTTTTGTGTTGTGTTGTGCTTTGTTGTGTTGTGCTGTGCTGTGCTGTGGCTGTGCTGTGCTGTGCTGTGCTGTGCTGTGCTGTGCTGTGCTGTGCTGTGCTGTGCTGTGCAGTGCAGTGCAGTGCAGTGCAGTGCAGTGCTGTGCTGTGCTGTGCAGTGCTGTGTTTGTGCTGTGCTGTGCTGTGCTGTGCTGTACTGTACTGTACTGTACTGTACTGTACTGTGCTGTGCTTTGGTGTGCTGTGATGTGCTTTGTTGTGCTGTACTGCACAGGCACTCACAGCACTGCACAGCGCTGCGCAGTGCTGTGCAGTGCTGCGCAGCGCTACTCTTACTTACAACGGTGTTTTCCACACACAAAAGATGACGAAACCAACCAGTGCAATAAGTAAGATGAGTCCTCCTGGAATGGCTATATAAAGAATCAGCTTGGAGTTGTCTTGTTTTCCAGGGTTGGACGGGCTGGGGATTTCTGAGAAGAAATTGCAAAATATCAACAAACTAATAAGTAGATAATGGTAAATGGTTTTAAACCCAGCCGGGGTATCAGTAGTTTTTCTATTGTGATCGTTCGGGTGAGGGTAACAGTCCTGTTGGTGACTGACGTTTCGACAACCTGACAGCCAGCTAGTCAGTCAGTCGGTCGGTCGGTCGGTCGGTTCGGTCGGTCGGTCGGTCGGTCGGTCAGTCGGTCGGTTCGGTCGGTCGGTCGGTCGGTCGGTCGGTCGGTTCGGGCGGGCGGGCGGGCGGGCGGTCGGTCGGTCGGTCGGTCGGTCGGTCGGTCAGTCATTCAGTCAGTCAATCAATCATTCATATATTCCGTTATCACATTCATTCCTATCATGGGTCTATAAACTTACAATTGGCCTGCTCCCAATGTGTGGCTTCATAGCTCAATTGGTAGAGCATGCGCACTGGTAACGCCGGAGGTCATGGGTCGTTCAAATCCCGTTGGAATCCAGCAATTCTGGCTTATATTGCAATTGAAGCCAGTCAATCAGCCAGTCAATCAGGGAAAACAATGTAACCGTGATGAAAAGCGCGCGGGAAAACATGCAACCTCAACCGAATCATGCTTGCCAGAGAAAAACAACACCTTCCAGCAAGTTACACGAGTTTCATGAACCATTATAAAGCTAGCATATATAAACCAAAAGCAAACATGTAATCACTTTCCAGTCACTGGGAATTCGATGTTTTTTATCACACATTTTAACAAACGAATCCGGCAGCAGCTTTCGTGACACGTGTAGGTGAAGTTTTAACAAACCGTTTCTAATACCTGAGCAAACATGGTCAGTCCCACTCCAAGTTCCATTGTCTGTACATCTTCTAGCTGTTGAACCGGGACGCTTTCAGATCCGCTCTCACAAGAGAACCTGCACACTGTGTCATATAACATCTGTGTCGTATCACAACCCAATAACACGCCACTGATCGGTGTTGATAACGTCGGGCATGTTAACAGCTTAACAGAAAATATAAATGTTGTTGAAAGGTGCATTAAGCTGAGGAGGAGAGAAGTGGTAGCTACGTAGATCTATTCAGTGGACTCTAGTTGTTGATAGGTAAAGCAAAGTGGACCGGTTTCCATATTATGAAGCGGCAAGGAGTATCGCTACCCCCCTGGATGGGATGCTAGTCCATCAACAGGTTACATCCCAGCATTTTGACAGGTTGTCCTAACAGTTCGCCGGTACCCATCTATACTTCTGGGTGCATGAAGAGGAGGGCATTGTGAAAGTTAAATGTATTGCCCAAGAACACTACACAATGACCCCGACCAGCGTTCGAACCCAGACCGCTCGATCCGGAGTCCAACGCGCAAAACATTGGTAGCCACCACTTTCCAATAAATGCGAGCTTACCATGGCATCGAGGCTGTGTGCCAGTCCAGGTTCCATCACTGTTTACACCATCTTATGGCTGAACCAGTCTGATTGTAGCCTCGTTCACAGGTCAACCGGCAAGGAATGACCTGGCAACCGGGTGCAAGGAGTTTTTATTCCACCATGAACAGGGATCGAAAGCGGCTCACAATAAAACGGCCTTTACGAACAAAAAAAGGCATTTTAATGTCAACTTTCTTAACAACATATTTTATTAAGGAACAAACTGTTGCGGTTAAATTTTGTGATTCAGATTAACAAGCAACGTCAATTTTTTGGTTAGGAAAATCCTCGATTTGGGCACAAGTATCGTTTTCATTTATCCAAGTTTTTACGGTGCCCGCAATATTTGTTACAGAGGTCTATACCTAACAACATGACGTAATCCGGCATGTCCCTTATATGGCAGCAAGTTGATATGCACATGCGTTTGCAAATTAGAACGCGAGTTTGTGTTTTACATTTAAGGATAAAGCTTTCAGTACGTACTCTGACAAGAGAAATCTTGTCCACTCCAAGTTCCATTTTGCTGGCATCTTCTTACTTGAGATCCCGACTCTATATAACCATTATTACACGAGAACTGACAGACTGTATCACAATACACTGTTGTATTCCATGGACATCCTAGTTTTTTTCCATTGGATGGTGCAGGCAACGCTGGACACGTGATCACTAAAATGCGAAAGAGCAACAAAATAAAAGTATATTTACGATTCATACTTGCCTGGCGAATGAATAACTACAAAACGGAAGGTATTGAGTCATCCATAACATCTCCGCTATCATTAAGAGCCGTTTTGCCCTTTTATTATTATATTGTTGAATTCGCATTCAAGCTTCTAGCTATATATGGTTTACCTTCACATGCAGGTATAGTGCTGTTCCACTCTCCAGGATGTTGGTTACCATGGGCAACACACGTGACTGTTTGACGAGCCATTTCAAACGATGACCAATCGAACAAGAAAAGTTACATTTTTCTCCATAATAATTACCACAGCTGCTCATGCGCAGTGGACCTCCTGGAGCTACCATTTGTGACAGTGATGTGCAATTGATAACTATGACGAAAAATTGTGCGGAATTAATAACACGTACATGATAGTACAGTCGAAGCTCTCGTTGCGACCACTCTCGTAAGCGACCAAGGTGTAGTTACGACCACTTTGCATAATACGGTCACATGACCATGTCAATCATAAAAATAGGTGGTAGTACAAAATGGTTGCCAGAAATGGAAATAGCATGATGAAATTGGCAAGGTTGCCAATTTTGAGACCGATGTTGCTTAAGCGTGAGATTTTATGGTTTTAATCTGATATTGTAATTTTTAGCTGTATTTTATTATTGTTGCCAACAGTCTTGTCCATAATTTAGGTATATTAATTGTATTTGTATTTATAGTTTTTGGACGGAGGGCCACTAGCTCGTCAGATGAAATAACTGTTATGTGTCACCTTCACCAAATAAAGTTGATTATGGTAGTTTGAAAGTTCGAAAAATTTAAAGGATTTGTATGCTGGATGGCAAGCCTTGCCATCCAGCCGTACAAATCCTTTAAATTTTTCAAACTTTCAAACCACTATAAAATCTCACGCTTACGCATCAGCGGTCTCAAAATTGGCAACCTTACTAATTTCATCATGCTCTTTCCATGTCTGGCAACCATTTTGTACTACCACCTATTTATATGATTTGGTCATGTGACCGTATTATGCAAAGGGCCTATTGTCACTGAAACTCTGTAAATAAAACTTAAAGCTCTCATAAGTGACCGCTCCCGGTATCCATAAGCGACCGCGGCCACTTTGGGGAATTACCAACTGGTTTTAAGCTCACGGAGCGACCACTTGTCGTGCTACACATTTATGAGACTGTTGTATTATTTGTAATAATCTGAATAAGAGAAGTTATCAATCTCTGTGGATGCGTGACCTGTACATTCGCTTTCGTACATTTCGTAAATGGCCAGCCTCTATTGCTTCAGCCCGTGGTCACTTACGACAGCCCATTCTCGTAAGCGACCAGCTCTAGTTACGATCACTATTTCGAATTAATTCCTTGTTGGTCGCTTACGAGAGCTTTGACTGTACTTATCTTAACGAATTTATTAAGGGGAAAGATTCCCACCACGATCTTTTCAACCTTTTTTCCTTTTTAACCCTATTCTGCCTGGAGGTGGGGGGAGGGGGAACAGAAAGTGCCCACCCTGATTTCAAACTTTTATTTCGTAAAGAGCGTTCAAGCAATTATAGCCAAACTTAGCGACTTTTCCGAAAAATTATCTGGAAACATTGGTTTGATCAGGTGACGACTTTTCCATGGCAACCAAGTTTAGACAGGTCGTTTTACCAAAATGTGTTTTTTTTCCAGCTCAGTTTTCGGTTTTTTTATATAAACTTCGCATTTCAACGGAAGATTGTCTTCCAAAATTATTACAGTTTCTGAATCCGTATATTTTTCTCGATTGTTTCGAATCAAATTTGGAGATTTTCTGACATTTCCGAAAAAAGTTGAAATCCAAGATCGGATTTTTTTTAAACGTATGACGTTATTTTGGCGTGTTTTGACGTCATAATTGACACTTGACTGTCACTAGAATAAAGCATTTTTTCATTTTTGGATGCTTTGCACGCCGTATAAATCTCATTTATATAGCGTGAATAACTTTGGAGATACATGGGGGGGGGGGGGGGGGTTGTATTTACATTTAAGGATAAAGCTTTCAGTGCGTACTCTGGCAAGCAAACTCTTGTCCACTCCAAGTTCCATTTTGCTGGCATCTTCTTAGTTGAGAACCAGACCCTACATAGCCATTATTACACGTGAACTGACAGACTGTATCATAATACACTGTTGTATTCCCTGGACATCCAAGTCTAGTTCCACTGGACGGTGCAGGCAGCGATGAACACCCTAAAATATGAAAGGATACATTCACCACGTATTGTTCGGTTTAATAAACCAAACGGATGTTTTTATGTGTATTATTATGTTGGAAGAACACAAATCCGGAGCCGAAGGAGAGTGATTTTCAAACTTTTCGAGTGTCCTTTCAGAACCCTAAGTCGTTTATCGAGCCGATAAACCATACAAATACGTGATATATTGCTTTTATATGACTTCCATGTTGTTAAACACGAAGACGCCACTATAAAAGGCTAAGCTCCTCCTACTTTCCTCCTACGTTCCATCTAATTTGCATTTTAGTATTGCACGTGGAGGCTAGAGCTTTGTAATGTTCTTGTATTTTTGTATCCACTATGAACATAAAACCTTATAATGTCTCAAATTTCCTCGTTGTTCTCGGTAAGATGTGAATTAAAACTTTTATTACAGATAATTCAAAATTATGTACTTCAAATATGAAAACTTTCATGACCGAGTTTGAATTTCGCGGGTTGTGTCAGCGTAAAACACGCACGTTAGTTATGATAATATTATATGTTCTTTTGCTGTTTCTTGCACACCGAAATATTTCAGGATACTAGTCATTATTCCGTGGGATTTAGAATGATTTATAGAAAGAAAAACGAAACATTATTTATTCTCTACTGACGACTAATTTTCAGCTATTGTCTCGTTCGCTGTTGATTGACAAATGAACTCGAGGTACCTTAGGTACCTCTCCTTTTATAGTGCGTCTTCGTGTTTAACCAGTTATTAAATAAATAATTATATCAATTTATACAAAAATAAATTGTTTCTACTGAAAATATGTTTAAGATCAGTCTAGAATCCGATCCTGTCGATGTTTACTGATATTTTGAGAGTACGCCCATTTTTCCCCTCTGTAAAGGAAACACAAGATCAAAATCAGAATAGTACAACAATCAAGAGAGATAAGATAAACTTGCGTTATATATAGGTTGCCAATGGTAACAGTATGTACGGTTTATATGTTGTTTTTCATTCAATCCGGCCGTTTCCGTGTAACTACTGTTCACATACCCAGAAATTTGGGTCAAAATGGCGGCCGCGCAAGCGCAATAAGGCCACAATGGCGGCAAAATCGTATAAGAAAATGTATGAAGATATGAATTGTTTTTAAAATATAATAATTATGAGC